AAAAAAGAAAATTTCCTCCCCCCCCCCCCCCCAAACAAATCTAATATAGCTCTCCTGGAAAATGACCACAAAACTGTCGATGAAATGTCACATTTTCTCTAATACTGCAACAGTATTCAGTCTTCAAATTCTCGATAATTCAAGATATTTTCTGTCTTGTCTCGTGGAAATCAAGACCACACACAAATATTTTGATTGACCAAAAACGTAACTGAGAGACGTCAAGTGTAAGTTTGCTGGTCGCGTGGCTATTCACCGGTTACTGGAGGCTTTGGTGGTACCACCCTAACACCGTCCTGAATGTTTAAAGAAAAGAACAGGAAAGTTGGTCGCGTGTCGCGGTGATTTGTCGGGGCACTGTATGTGTGGGATCTCCTCTTTCTCTTTCTCGTTTCGAAAAGAGGCTGAAGGGTTAGCCTACCTGGACATGGGGGATATACAGAGAGCCCGATGGGCTCGAGTGAGAGAGGGAGAGAAGAAAGAACGCCACGTGACCCTTGTTCAGAGGCCTGCCGTTCCTTATTGGAATCCTTCCCCCAACCTGACCTAGCCAAGGTGAGATTTATCCGGCGGCTTTACCTGACTCCCCAGACTCGTGTATTTGTGTCTTTTAGCGTAGACACCTACATCACCCACTTTAATACCGACAACGGACTATCACCCTTCAGATCAGTCCAACAGGTTTCTTTCCATTCTTCTTATTCTTCTAATTTTTGAAGGTGAAAATTAGGCCAATGATTATTTTTACTAAGGCAAAATTTCATGATGCAATTGAATTAGCAGAATTATTCATTTATTCATTATCAGAATATATTGACTTTAAGTAATTGAAATCAAATTGTTCTTATCATTAAAGTAAACAATTTTTAGTTGAAATTTCTGAATTTGAGAAAATTGAAAATTCGATGATGATTGTAACTAACGGAAATAGTGCTTCAGTTTTTAATGAAATAATAGTTCATCACATCTGTTAAACTTTTTATTTATTTGGGATTTTCATCATTTTTCAATCTTAGACTATATTTTTTCAGATTAATTGAACTGGTTTTTTCCCACTCATTCTATTTTGCAAATTTTTCAAAGTGCAAATTAGACCAATGATTATTTTTACATAATATTGCTGAATAATTCGTTTATTCAACAATAAAATATATGAAATTAATGCAATTAAAATTGAATTGTCCTTATATATGAACACAATTTTTTGGGATTTTGCGTTTTGACTTTAACGAAATAAAAAATTTGATGATGATTATGAGTAGCAGAAAAAAGCTCCAATTTTTAATTAAATAATAGTTTATTTCAACTGCTAAATTTGTACTCATTTGAGATTTTCAGCATTTTTAACTATAAATTTTAACCCGTCAGACCAATACAACGGGCTCTTTCCACTCTTGTTATTTTGCTCATAATTTAAGGTGAAAATTAGGCCAATGATTATTTTTATGCAGACAAAATTTAATGATGCAATAAATTTAACAGAGTCATGCGTTTATAGAACATCAACAGAATAATTTATTTATTTAACGCCCAAATTTATAAAACTAATTTAAATGAAATTGAGTTGTACTTATAATTGCATTAAATTTCGTCTGCTTCGAATTTTGTGCTTTGAATTTAAGGAAAGTGACAATTCGATAATAATCATGACTAAAGTGTACAAGGCTCAAATTCCTAATGAAGTAATAAGTAAGTTAATATTCCATTATAAGTACTGAATTTTCTCATTAATTGCAGAGTTTGAGTTGTTCACTGACGATATTCCATTTCGTTAATAAGGAAAGCCGAAAATTAGGCCAATGATTTTTATCATTAGAACAAAACGGGATGCTATAATTGAATTGACAAAGAAGGTCGTTTTTTATCTTCCTAATTTACAAAATTGGTAGAACTGAAATCGAGCAGTTTTTCTGTTGAAACTTGGCAATTAGTTCGTCCCATTTTTGAGTTCTAAAAGGCTAGAAAGTAGCTAAAGCAATAATTTTTATTAGAAAAATAGTCCACGACAATTCTTAAATTTTCAATAAGTTTCGAAATTTATCAGAATCCTTTAATCTTGTTTCCATACAATGAAATAACATCTCATCTCCATAGATGATTTTCTAATTCTGACCAGCAAACGAAAAACAGAACTTCTTGATCCTTCACAGAACTGCCCAAACAAACATCAATTTTGCCATTTTTTCCTTCCCATTCGTTATTCATCTCCAAGATGAGCAAATAAAAATTCCCGGAAATTTTGATATCCCCAGCACTCCATTACCTCCAGGAACCTCTACCTTCAACCAAAGGATAGCTTCCGGAATCCGAAAAGTGGTTTAGTCGTTGCCTCCAAGGGGAATACATAAGTAGGTCGGCGCAACCTGATTACAGGTTCCCTTAATCACCCGGTGCGCCGGCCGCGTGATGATCTATGATACACGTAGACCCCAGAATCCAACCCCATTCCCCAAAGCACATTAGACGTTGATTTAAAATCGTCCTCGAACTTCCCATTACTTCGAAATATCCAAATCTCGAAATGTTAATTCACCCAATTTCCCCCCCCCCCCTCCCACCTCCTCCCCCCATCTTCGACATCACTTCCTGCCGGATCTATGTTATCTCACGCCTCGCCTTGGTGTTCCGAGTGACGTGCAGTCCCGCGCAATCATCAAACAAGAAACAGAACCACGAAGAACCTCCAGATGACTAAGCGAAAGGATCTCAAAAGATTCACCCGAATGAACTAATTCTTCACTTTCTTTTGTAAAACTGGAATATCCTGAAGATTGAAATGATCCGACGGCCTGAGAACTCAACCCAACCGGCCTCATCACTGTAGAAATAATCAAGGCTAATGTAAAAATAGGATGACTAGTCAAAGATTGTCATGATTATCTCCATTATCATCACTCACATATTCTTCCATTTGCCATTACCCAGATAATAAAACACATCAGAGAAATCTATTCACCAATAATTTCCATGATTGTATGTACAGGTATCATCATCGACATCATCGGTTGTCGCAACACCACTCCAGCTGCATACGTAATTCATAAAATCGTGTCGAAAAAAGGGGAGTGAAAATAAAAAAAAACCACAAGCCTATAAAATAACAAGATATACTTATTCAAAACACGATTCAACCAGGCGCCGTTGGACAATAACCGGAAGTTGTCGATGTGATCAGGTTGACTGCTCGCAAAATCATTTGTTAGGAAATAAATACCCGGCTACAGGTGTGACAAATTCAATGATTTTTTAAACGAGCTCTAATCGAATCTATCTGAGCAAATGATTAATCATCAGTTTTATCGACAGAGATAACCTATCAGCATTTGCAACTCACATTTTTCATATTTGTTTGATTTCAATTTCATTTCTAACGCTGAATGATGTATAAGTGTCTCCGGCGCCTGATATCAGTCACGCATCAATATTGGTAATGACAATTGCGAGAACATGCGACGTAAAAGCGAATCCATTTGAAGATTAAAACTTATATAGGAGATTCGAGGAAATAACGCTGATGCCTGAATGACACTTATTATTTATTAATTTATCGCAATACCACTTGACTGCTCGCCTGATCATATTTACCTGTCCATGAGATTTTTCTTCAACATTATTTATTTTTGTAATCTCTCTTCTTGTTTTTTTGCGGCAACTGATAGCGCGTGTCTCACGCGAAGCGTGAAGTGCTTTATCGATGTATTAGCGAAGCGATTGAAAGGTGAGAATACTCGAACGGTGTATCAAGGAGGTGATTAATAACCCCCAGAGTCATAAGAGTCACACTTAATTAATAATCTCAAAGTGGCAGGCTTGGATAATATTGTGAGGACACCTCTGCTGGTAACTAATTAACGATTGAATTGCCTGTGGGGATTCGATGAAATTGCCCATGATTTACAAGATCAATGGTAGAAGGTGTAAATCCCCCAATACCCAGCCATATTTGCTATCAGCAGTAAAAACAATATGTTCTTTCATTGAACATCCTTCAGAATGAAGGAATGTCAAAGCTCAACGCAAAAATTAAATATGCTCAAGTGAGAATATTAGAACACATATTGACTTATGAATCAGAATTGATAGATCAACTCGGTGATGACAAGCAAATACCATAGATTAGATAATTCAATACTTCTGATACATCCAAGAATGAATCACCTCCGCCAGGTAATAATATGTAACCAAAAACTCCAAGAAATTATTCAAGAAGTAATGAAACACCTGACAAACATAAATCTCTTATCAACCTTTGCTCTGTTGTCTCTCAAAGATGAAAATTGAGATTTGAAAAGCCCTATAGTCCCGTCCATAAACCCTATCAAACCCCTGGCTACACGCAGTCTTATCAAAATATTCTCAAATTTATGATGCTCACCGGTCTCAGCGCCTCGCAGCGGCCCCGAGGGGCTTCCACCCGTGGACACCCCCTCGTCCTCGCTGCCACTGGTGCTGGCCTCACTCGGACTGTAGCTCCTTCTCTCGTTCATTCTCCCTGATTTTTGTCCACTAGCACCATTACCATTATTATTATTATTATTATTATTATTATTATTATTATTATTATGCATACGACTCTGTAGTCTCTCATGCATAGTCCTGAGACGCGCATGCAGCCTCTGCTGCTGTAACGAACCAACGGAAAAGTCGAGGGGTTGATCGACATCTGATTGAGCAGGTTGCTGGGTCTGAAGTCTCTGCACCTGGCTCAGTGTTGCTGATATTATGCTCGGTGCTTGAGTTACCTGTGCCATCTCCTGGTCCTGATGTACACTAGATGGTGGACTCCACCACTGGTGTCCACCCTGAATTGATCTCCAAGCATCAATGGTGTTGTTATTCGTTGGACTGCCAGTCTGCTTTTGCTTCTGAATTTGATTTTGATTCTGATTGGGTTGCGGACTCTGTTGTGAGTTTTGTTGCTGTTGCTGCTGTGCCATAGCAACTTCAAGATTATTATTCTCTAACAGGTGCATGCTCGGTGTTTGCGTCATAGACGTGGGCAATGCAAATGCTGCACCCACTGATGATTGACTGGCGTCGTGCGATGAACGACGGCTGTTCTGGTGTGATTGGTGCTGGTGCTGCTGTTGCTGTTGCTGTTGGGGTTGATGATGGAACAGATGGAGTTGGGAACTTGATGGCACAATAACAGGAGGTGTTATCTGGCGTACGGATCGGGCTGCCTCGGCAACCCACCGGCGCACAGCTTCACTGTCAAGACCCGCCAGACCTGCTGACTTTGTTTTGGACTGTCCAACTGGTGATAAACCCTTCTCGGTTAGCAAGCCGGGAAGCGCGAGGACCCCGGTGCCCGCCACCGCGACTCTGGGCCCTGTAACGCCCCCGTAAGCACTCACTGCCGCGAAATCCAACGTGTCTCTCGGATTACCTCACTGTGGAGGCACTTGAATGATTTCCACAGCTTCCTGTGAGCTTTTGCCGATTGAATTATGGGAAGTGGTTTTCATTAGGTGACAGTCTCATCTAGTTTCCAATACTTTCACAGGTTAAAAACAGTGGTTTCGATGGTTTAAGGAATCCAGTAATGTCTTAAATCCTCGTTTACAGTGTCACTCAATGCCACAATCAGTCACTCGTATGTCTTCGCGCACTACTGACATCCTCAGCTGTCAGAACCTGGTACAACACAAAACATCGAATGAATACAAATGTCAGGGCTAGTTGTTCCTTCTACTGTCACTTCTGGGCTCATTCGCTCCGTACAATCGACACTTCGTTTATTTTGTTTTGTTTTTTGCTCTCAGGAGCAAACACTTGTGTGATGACAGTGGAGATGCCCTGGTAACAGACCACCTGTGACACCACCACCTGTCATTCAGTTCAATCCTTTCGTCAAATTTCTTGCACCCTCAATAACACTGAGACAACAAAAATATCACGAGTTCAAGTTTTCCTGGCTAGCTGCCAATAACCGACACTTCACAGTTCGTTGACACCTCCTCTTTAACATGAAAAATTTAATCTCTTCCTGTCAAAAATCGACACGCACTCGTGGTCCTCTCACACGTTACCCAAATTTCTGTTTACGTAAGAGCTAAAATAAAAAATCCTAGCTATTGTAATTGCTTGCTCGTTACTGATTCAACCGTTCGTCCTCTATATTTTTTTTCCAACAAAACCGTAATCGCGAGCTGCCAATGTGGAAAATCGCGAATTCTGTCTCGTTGCCGCGATGAAAAATTCGCAGTATGGAGAGTCAGCGCGCAAAAGAGGAGGCGGCGGTGGCAACAACAACGGATAGATGCTGTCGCGTGCATGTGTGCAGCTACACTAGGGTCCAGGCGGCCGCCGGCACACGGACGCTCGGGCCGTCCAGCAGTTTTCGCCCGAAGGTGGGGGAGTCGTTAGGTCGCCCGTTGGGAAGGAAGGAAAAAAAATGAGACGAAGAAGGAAGAGCGGTGAGGAAAAAAAAATCATTGGTAGAGGAGAAGGAGGAAAGAGAAAGAAGAAGTAGGTAGTCCCCCGTTGTTAGAAGCGTAGAGGCTCTGGTGTCCGCCTGGTAGCCCCCGGGTGAGTTGCTCCGGCAAGTTGGGCTGCGGAGGGGGCGGAGGGGGGATAGGGAGATGCGTCGGTGGGGAATACAACGGCCAATCCGTATTATTCGCGGATATCGTTGGGCTCCGCCTACCGATGAATGCTCCTGGTTTGCGAGTCGCGCCCGCGCTTTTTTTTTCTACTTCTCATCCTCTGTCTCGTGGGCACAAACGGCCACGAGAGAGATTGCCTTTTTGCTTATGTATATATGGAGGCCACGCGAGTCTCAGTCTCAATAATTTGCATATCACAGATTGTGGCCAACCAATGGGAATTGACCAATGCCCCTCTCACTCCTACCAAAGCTGTCCTCTCTGGTTAGGTTGCCAACTGAGTGGATAAAACGCACGAGGAATGTCTGATTAATTGAACACTCAGGTGGGGCCGCCAGAGGAAAATGGTCTTTCAAGTAGGTGGAGCATCAGTGCTTGTGGAATATCTATGAATCGATCCAACGCATTGAAGGACAATTCAACTGCTGGACATGGATGGGTTCATGTTGAAGAGAACTGGGTCACATATTGATTTGTGTAATTGATGGTATATCGTGGGGGCCATGAGACAACAGCTCGATGGGATGGGAGTGGGATATCTTATCTCATGGCCATTGACCCTTAAGATTATTTAGTCAATCAAAACATTGACTTTGTGTCTGGTGACTGCGGAGATAATACACATTCCATTAAATTTGATTAACAGGTATTGGTAATACACGTTTTGTTGTCAAGTCAAATCAACAAGAGATGATTAAAAATCATTGAATGAAGATGGAGTAATTTGATTCATGGGAATGCAGAGGGTTTCATTGGCACAAGCAGAAATATTTCGCATGGAGAGAACTACGAGAATATGAAATCCGTCATGCGCACACTTCTCATAAATAAAAACTTCTTTAAAGCGATTCCATTGGCTCACGACTGAATTCCGAGTGAACCCACCCCTCCAACCTTTATCACCACTATCATATTTCCATACAGACACAGGAATATCACTCCTCCTCTCAACCCCACGGTCTCACCTTCCACAGCAGTGAAAAAGAAGCCCTCCCGCTTTTCACCCGACATTTGAATCCAGCATGCGCAGTGAAAACTCGCGGGAAAGAGACGAGGGTGAAAAAAAGAAAATCCAACAAATACGTCCCTTTAAAGTGGCTCTTATTGGTCATTGGAACTGCTGCGCATATCCCTACTACTCCACCCTCAGTCGCACGTTATATCGCATGCACCTAAAACCCAGAAGGCACTTCTTATCGCGCACTAACCCCTCTCCTCGTGTTTTCTTCTCCTTCACCAACACCAATGTCCCTTTCACCCTCTTGGGGTGGTTTTCCCCACTCTCGAGGCCAACGACTCCCACGCTACAGCAGGGTTCTCTCTCCCCCCTCCCCCTCCTGGCTTTCCTCACTTGGTGGGGGACACGTGATGCCAAATGTAAGGGACGGAAAATACAAAACTTTTAGCTGTGAAAACGAGACCGTGAGAGACCTACGACGCGTATTGATTTTAATGACACTCCCCCCACCCACTCGTCGTCGTGTGTGTGTAGATGTACATGAGAATAGAATAGAACAGTACGGAACAACACTGACCGGAGAGGAGAGGAAATGAGAGAGGGAGGACTGCAGAGAAAGAGTAGGTGGAGTGTAATATCTCCGGGTCGTCACATCATTTTTTTCTTTATTCGTGCTTTGAATTTTTTTTTCAAGCAGGGGAGGGGGTGTGTGAGAATTTTAATTTATTGACTTTACAGCAGCAGGTTGTCCTTGGGGAGGAGAGTATCTCGTGTCGGCATCCCCAAGGGGTTAACCCTGACAAAAAAGGGAGAGACACTTGTCGTATGCGCAGATCGAGGTTTTCTATTCAAATAGAGGAGGGGACCTAATCTGAATAACCCTTTGATGGCAGGCGATGGTAAGGTGTACAGCTAGAAAAATGGTGTATTTGATTCGCATAAAGTTTATTTAATTAGTACCAAGTAAAGTTTTTTTTGTCAAATTCAATAAATTTTTTATTCGAAGTTTTGTTCATGTTAAATAAATGTTTTTTTTACTATTAATAAATCTTTATTTGATCCAAATAAATTCTTTATTTATACCAAACAGTTTTCTTATATTATAAAAATTTCTTTATTTGAATCAAAGAAATTTTTTATTTCTAATAATTTATCATCGGTTTGAGATTGTAATAAACTCTGAACGAAAAACATACAATAATTATTAGGGGTTGTACATCCATCACGTAAGACATTAAGGGGCGAAGGGGAGTGGGAATTTCTGTTTCATGGTTTCACTATTAGAGAGATGATGATGAAAGAAGCTTGTATATACTGGAGTGAAAAGGGTAATCAAAAATTGTATCAGAATGATTTTAGAGAACTCAATATTGCTGAAACGAATATTGCTGAAACGCACTTTGGATATTCTTTCACAAAATACATAAAAATGTGATTTTCTTAACATAAGAGAACTATTTGTTTGAAATAAATAAATTGTTTGTTTAATATAATTAAATGTTTTTCTTGGAACAAGTAAACAAGGTTATTCATTTGTAATAAGAATATTTTTGAAAAAAGTAAAAAATTTCAAATGAAGATTTTCATTTGATTCAAAAGAACCATTTTTCTCGGTCTATTTGAATGAATATTATTTGCATCACTGGTATGAATTAACTGTGTCAATTCTTTTTTAATGTTAATGGGGTAATTTTGGGGCTTGAGGGAGAGAGAACGCCAGAGAAAGAGTAGGTGGAGAGTAATCTTTCCGGGTCGTCACATCATTTTCTTCTTTATTCGCGCTTTGAATTTTTTTTTAAGCAAGGGAGGGGGTATGTAAGAATTTTGATTCATTGACTTTACAGCAGCAGGTTGTTATTGGGGAGGAGAGTGTCTCGTGTCGGTATCCCCAAGGGGTTAACCCTGACAAAAAAGGGAGAGACACTTGTCGTATGCGCAAATCGAGGTTTTCTATTCAAATAGAGGAGGGGACCTAATCTGAATAACCCTTTGGTGGCACGCGATGGTAAGGTGTATTTGAAACCCCTTTTTTATTCATCAGGGTTGGGAATGAATGAGTATTATTTGCATCGGTGGTATGAATTAACCGCATCAACCCTTTTTTAATGTCAATAGGGTAATTTTGGGGCTTGAGGGGAGTAATTGGGCGCACAGGTGGCAAGGGGAAGGGTGATTTTTGGGGGCTCGTGCACCTGACGGAACACGTGTTTTATTTATGACTTGCTCGTTTTTTACAATTTATTTGACGGATTAAATTCAGTGTTTTTTGTAGATTCTTTATTAATTGTTCATTGATCTGTCAATGAATCAATTTACAAAGAAAAAAAAGAATTATTTTTTCCAATTCATTCCTGAGAAAAGTGGAGTAACATGGAAGACCTTTGACTGCATAAAGAAACGTTAATTAATCGAGAAGTCATTCATC